GGTCGTTTGACTGGTTCACGGCTGATCATGTCTTTAATCAGCTCTTCGGCTAGTACACCGGTGCTGTCCAGCATATCTGGATTGCTAAACAGTTTGAGATCGCATTCATATGACAAAATGTTCAATTGTCGTTTGACTGTGTCACCGAACGGATGCATTCCGCTTGACATAACATAATAATACACACAACCAAGTGAAAAAATGTCAACGGCAGTCGTCTATTAAGGGTAAATTAATTCAACAGTATTAGGTTTGTTGTTAATTCGTGATTTTTAGTACTAATAATATACTAATTTAGAATAATAAGTAAGTTCATACCGTGCGTTGACCCTTAAGCATTTCTGGTGCAATCCACCCTTCGGTACCAGTGATGCCTGATCGCCGAGAAAAGCTGGTCTTGCCAAAATTCAGCTTTTTGCACAATCCAAAGTCAGAAATCATGACGCGAATCTTTTTATTCGCATCCGGGAATGATAGCAGTATATTCTGTGGCTTGATGTCACGATGGACTATGGGAAAGAAAACACAAAAAAAATTAAATTTATAAAGAATATGTAAAAATTTATAGAAAAATCAAACAAACAAAAATTGAAAAAAAAAATGAAATTTTTGCCTTAACTTGAAGTCCATCTGAATGAAACAATACCGATCAACATACTAACCAATTTTCAAGCTATGCAAATGCATAACGCCATTTGTGGCTTGATGTAGCACCTCTGTCATTGATATGCTTTTCTTGATTTCATCCGAAATATTGCCCTCGGTATAGTCTTGAACGGTGGCTGAGCACAGTTCAACGGCAATATACCGAAACTGTCTATCACGTTCAGTGCAAAAGTATCGAACGACATTTTCATGTGCATCCGATTCGCGTAGCAATGTAACCTCACGATCGGCTAGCGTAAAGCATTCTGGTAGTAATCTTTTAACGGCAACATCTCGTTCTTCAAAAGTTCCGCGGAACACAAAGGTTCCTTCGCACCCTTTGCCAAGTATCTCCAGTGTATTGAATGAAATTTTCCCAACTTGATTAACACCGTCACCTAATTCGATCAGTTCATCAAATACACCGTTCTTCTTTCCACCCATCATCATTGTCTGTGAGCCACTTTGGCTCTGGTTTCGCATTTCATTCGCCACAATTTTCACATACCAAAACATGGCCACCACTAAGCCGCACAGGATGATTAGCAGAAGTTTTAATATTTTGCTCTCTTGATCGTTGAGCCAGGTCTTTGATCGGTTATAAATATCGGAAATATAATCCTGTGGTGAATGCATTTCAAAATGTGCAAAAAAACCGCTATATTTTCGAACGGGTTCCTTGGGTGGTGGTATAATATTACCAACGCTTCCTTTTCGATTCAAATTCAACTCGAACGCTTGGTTTTCTTTGCCCACATTCGTTGCGATCAATTCATTGTGTCCTCTGCCATTGTCATTACTCATTGGCGATTTATCAATTCCAGCCGACCTTGGTGGAGCAATGTTAAACTTAAACTCCTCTTGCACCTTCGGCATCTGATAATGACCCAGCACCACAACATTTTTATTCTTGTCATTTGTATTTTCCATTATTGTGTTCAGGTACACCAAATTTGGATTGTCATTTGCGACAGGACCATCCAGTAATTTCATCATCGGCTCACTCGATATCGTCTTTGTATTCTCATCAATTAAGGTAGGTAGTGCGTATAGTCCGTGAATATGCTCGCCCACATAGAGACTTTGGCTACAGGTGAAAGAACAAAAACATTTACTTAAAATAGCTGATTCAACACAGTGCAAATACCAGTGGAGCAAACTCAACAACAACTGTATTTGAATATGAAAAAATATATAATATTTGCGTCTGGTCGTTGACATTTTCGATGTTTTGTGCGTGTGGATTTCTTTTTTTTGGGATTTAATTGTACAGAAGTGTACAGGGTCTGATTGTTGCTAATGCTAATCGCAGACTGACCACAAACCATGCACGCACTCTTGATTATTTGAACGAAATATATCGCGACCGATCCCATCGGAATATTTAACATGAGTGCGATATACTCAACGAGCATTTTTAGAAAAACATCTGTGCAAATAATAAAAGTACGAGCACGAGGAGAATACACTGTAACAATAACAATGTAAACACGACCAAATTCAGTTTCGGTGTATTGATAATATTTCATTTCAACGAAATTACCGGCTATATTCAATGAAAACATGATTCCAAGGAGTATTTTTGGCCGAAAAATTTAAACTTGAATCGAAAAACTATTTAGGTCATTGGTGCAAACTGTATAAAGTTAATTGTTTTGAATGATTTGGACCAAAAGCAAGAGAATTTTCATTAAAAAGGTCGATTTTTGGCCGAAGAAAAAACAATTTTTCTTACAAAAAGTCAAAAATTTGTCCAAAACATCAGATTTATCCCACAAAATCAAATTTTTTCGAAAAAATACTCTTTACAAGCTTAATTTGTGCATTGAAGATTTCGTTTGGGGCATCAATAAAATCGATTTTTTTTTCTCTAAAACAAACCTAATTCGACGAAGCATTCAATATTTTGAGCCAGAATTTTTTTTTGACTCAACTCAAATCGACTCCACTTCATACTTACAACAATTTCATATTATTTTGTTGTCCATCTCTGGCATATTCAATGATGCTATTCAAAGCACCATCCGAAACCGTTGTGAATGGTACGCTCATCAAACCGTTTGGTGTAAGTCGAAAAACAGCTACAACTGGGCTGGACATATCTTTTTGCCATAAAAACGTTCCCGACTTACGATCCAGTGATACCGTTAACCCGCTGCTACTCCCAGAAAAATGTAGGAATTCTGAGAGAGAAAAAAAAGTGTGTTTGATCAATTTCGATTGTTTGCTGTAAATATTTTATTGGCACCATACCATATTCATTTGAAACTTCTGGAGCCATGGAATTTGATGTATAATCGAAAAATGTCACATTCCATGGTTTTGCATTTTTGTCTTTTGTTTGACTATCATACATCAATACGGTGTATTGTGTTCGACCTAAATAAACGGCTCGTGATGTGGCCCATCCAATTGAATCCTTGCTATCCGCACCAAAACCCACGACTTTTTCTCGTTTACCCGTTTTTGGATCGATTAAAAACCATGTATCTTTCTTTTTCCCAGAATATAAAATGCCATCGCTTGAACGACATGGTGCACTGGCCACCAGCTGTGGTATAGTGTATGGCAATTTTTTTAAACTACCCATATCACCCAGTTGATAGAGACTTCCGTCACGCGGATCAGGCAAATACGGCGAAACATTCGATTCGGAGTGTACGGGCGCTCTTATCGCTGGGTCTGGTTTTTTTTTGTTAGATAAGAACGAAATTAAGAACATGAGTCATGCGATCCCACGGCGAGAAAGATTAAAATTTTGGTAAATAAAAAAAAGAATTTCGGTAGAATTGTTGGTCGAGGTCAATGTTGAATTAACGTTATCGATTTATGTATGTGCAATTTTTCGGGAGAGAAAAAAATGGAAAAAGAGCGAAAAAGGGGAAAAAATTATTTTCGATCGATCCGAGTTTTTTTTAGTAAAAATTTCAACAAAAAAAATTCTGAAGAAATTCTTGAATAGAAATGTTTGAAATTTCAAATTTTTTGCCCCAAAAAATTCGTCAAAGAACGATGAGAAAAAAACTTTCTTCAATTAAAATCGATTTTGCACGCAAAAAATATGCCAAATTTTTCTTAGATACAAACCATCATCAATGCTCCATCGAACTTCGCTGGTGTGTGGATCGACAGCCGTCAATCCGCCCCCTAATGTTGAGAACACCAGCAACGGTTCGTCGTCTCTAGCAATATCGGTACAATCCTATGCGTTGTGTTGTTATCAATAAATCAATATTAGAAATGAAAATTTAGTCTCAAAATAAATTACATTCCGCAATGGCATTGAAACTCAATCAAATTGATTCCACTCACTTGTTCTTGTGTGGACGTCACATCGTTGCCGCTGATTTGTGCCAGATAACACGCACATATGAGAAATAATATGAAATTCATCCATTTTATAATGTTCATTTTGCCTCCGTCTGCCGTGCGCTCAAACGCCAGCGCGCAGAAAGAAATTCGACTTTTTATTAAAAAATTGTTTCACTGATGTACTTGGTGTTTTGTTTCATTGATCGCAAGTTTTGCGTCATATTTTTTGTTCGCTTTATATGAAAAGATTTTTCTTTCTTGTTTTTTGACACATAAAAATCACACACGATAACTTTGACGACAGAAATTCGTTTGCAAATTGAATTTTATTTCGTAAAATCGACACGGACATCTGTCGATAATGTGACGAAAAAACATGTTTATTGATAACTTGAATTTCGGCAGAAATTTTCTTGTCTCACTTTACCATTTTTTCTCTCGATGAAACACAAATTTACGCGTATATTTACACCATTCGTAGCGTTAAATACATCATCACATCGCGATTGACGATTGCTTTGTGGCTGACGATAACATTGTGTCGGTGCGAGTAGCATGTGTGTGTGCGTGTGTATTTTTCTGTCCAAGTGAATGTGTATTTTGACAGTATATTGTGGCTCTGTTGCTCGCATCCATCGGACCACACTTATCTCATCGTCGTGACGTGTTGTATGAGAGAGAGAGAAAAACTGTGTTTTGTTGTTACCATCACTCGGACGATACACCAACAACAGATGTTTATGGTTCGGAGAAAAACACCTACTGAATTATGTAGCGCAACAATAACATTGAGGCCAAAATAAAAGCATGGGAACATTCAGATGCTCATAGAAATTTGGACGAGAGAAAATCGAACCGCCAGCCTCTATTTTTGTGTTTGACTTTGCCCTTGACAACCGTTTCGATTCAACTCATATTACGATTTACTTGTTTTTCAATCAGAATCTCGTCGTGTCATCGCTAAAATGTTAATTTTTTTATCGTTAGGTGAAGAAGATCAGGACACCTGTGTGCAATTTAATTGATTTCCGGGCCTAATAGAAGTTTGCTCTATTTTTGTTGCTTCACTCAATTATATACAATCTAAATCTTATTATTTATTCTTTTTTTTATTCACATTTTTTATTTCGAAAAAATTAAAGAAAAAATCTTTGCACAAACCAATCAAATCAAAACAAAACTCTCGGACATAAACCACACATTAAAACTGAAATGATAGGTATTTCTCTTGTACCAAACTGTTCGACATCAACATTTCTTTTGTTTACCTCCGCGATGTTAGACGGTTGCTTATAAACTCATCAGGCACATCACGCTTTTGACATTCGACAGTTTGACACTTTCTTTCAACGCAGCCAAGTGACAAATGGTGTCAAATTTATTCAATTCGGTTTGTTTATGTTTGAACCATGTGGACAAATGAGAGCTAAATCGTTCTTTTCAATTGAACATTGCCTTCATAAATAAGGGCTTTAATGATATTTTCATTAAGCACCAATTTTATTTGATATTCATATCGACTGCAGATTGACTATAGAATATTTTCTTTCCTTATAATTTTTATTCATAGCTCATTGTCTTTTCGTCCAAACAGTCTTCTTCTCAGTAAAAGTTTACGTTCTGCACACACTGCATTTCTTATGCAGATAGTCTATTTTTCGTAAATGTTGATGGTATCAATATGAATTTCATAATTTGCGCTACCAATGGTAGCCTATCTTATTCATTGACTGCCATTCATCGGGACGAATGGTGCTCCGGTGAGATTTTCGATTTGATGCTTCCTCTGCATGTGTTGTTTGAGATAAAATTTATGCTCAAACTTCGCTGAGCACATGGTACACTTCAAAGTTTTGGTATCTTCAGTGTGTCGTCTCTCATGGATTCTATAGATTTGGACGATATAATAAAAATGGATTAGAGAAAATAGAAAATCAGCTGATTGTAATCAAATATATTTATGCAATTTCATAGTTAATAGACTAGATGTAGGCAAAAAAAAATGCCACTTTCAAAATCAAACAATTCACCAACAATCTCGTAATCTAAATCTTCTAATTTAATTAAGTCCACAAAAATTTATCTAAATGTAAATTGAACGTTTGGAGTTTTAAACGATTTAAGTATCATAATAAAAGCATATCAGTAATGGACTGGACTGGACTGGACTTGACTGGAGCTACGTAGTTTATATCGAACTAAATACTTTCATTCATATCGTGATGTTTTTTACACCAAAAGAAAAGTCAATGCAAATTTACTTTACCTCAGATTGTCTCTTCGTTTGAATGAAAAGCCACAGTGAGAGCAAGTGTACGGTCGCCTATTCAACTGTCCAAGGAAAGATAAAAAAAAAAGATTTTGAAATAATTTATCGCTTCAGCGGTAGAGAGTTCCAAAAATTGCTTGAAAAATAGAGAGAATCAATTACAAGTATTAAGAAGAAGAGAATAAATTCACTTACGTGCAACTTCAAATGAGCCACTAGATTATTTCGGGCATAGCAAACATGACCGCAAGTATCGCATTCACCTTTCCATTCTTTAGTGTGAAACTTTTGGTGCCCTTGCATTGCATATTCAGTAGTGAATCCCTTTCCACAGTATTCGCATATATATCGCTTTTCACCCTATTTGCGCAAATGCAATCAAAATGCGTGATAATTTCAGAACAATTTGTTAATCAAACCGAATTTTATCCAAAAATGTAAAGAGAAACTTTATGCTTACGTGTATTTCAGTGTGTGATCTTATTTTATGTGTCATCTTTCCACAAATTACACATTCCAATTTAGGGCGGCCAACATGTAATTTCTCATGACTCAACAGCGATTCTTTATCAGAAAGTAGAAAACTGCAGATGGAACAACACCATCCGGGATTTCTTTGGTGCCACTCTTGATGTTTCTGAAGTAAAAAGAATAACTTTGTTCATTGCAGAAGTAAGTTTTAACCTGAAAAATGACTAAAAACACTGAATTTTTCACCTTGAATTCTTTTTTATCGACAAATTTTCGGTCACAAATGTCGCATTTGGCCTATGGAAAAGAAAAGAAAGATTCAAAATCAATATCAATTAGGCAATTTGAATTAATGAATCAGAAACAAGGCTATGTTCAATCTTTTTCTTACTTGGAAGCATTTTTTCCTGTACTTTTTTGGTCGATTGGGTTTTTTTCTCTCAACATATTTGGCAACATTTTGGGATGGAAACTTTGGTGGATCCACCACGGTGACACATTGCGATTGACTCATTTCAATTTCTTCCATTGGTTTTGGTGTGTGTAGGATTGGATCCATTAGTTCTAGTTTAATTGGTTTCTCCAGTTCTGGTTCCTGCAGCATTGGTTCAGGCATGGGTGGCTTCAATATCACAGGCTTAGGTGCGTTTGGTTTAAATACCACCTTGAACAATTTCAATTTTTTATTCGGTTCCGTTGTTTCTGGTTTGGATACAGTAGGATTCAATGCAATTGGCTTAAGTGCGTTGGGCTTTGGAACCATCTTTAACACTCTGAGTTTTCCATTTGGCGCCGACAGTCGGATGATTTTATCCGGCTCACTATTCGAGCATTTTGGCATTGTTGGATTGGCTTCATTCGTGCTCATTTTCTCATACGTTCGTTTAATGGCGGTATTTTTATTGCGTTTCAAATTTAAATCTTCGGCTTTAACCAACATTTTCCGCAGCATCTGTTTCCGTGCTTCGGCCGACGAACTATGCAAATCATAACCTTGGATCAGACCAAAACAAGTCACACAAATGCAATTCGATGCATCGTGAATTTGTCGACGAGATGTGAAATCGTCCAAAATTTCGTTGATGATTTCAATGAATGACTTTTGCGAGTATTGTGTTTTCAATTTAACGAGAACCAATAAATTTGGTGGATTTTTATTACACACATAACAAACTCCGCTCATTTTGAATTTTTTTTTTAGTAATTGTTTGAAACTTCGAGTTGTGAAGAAAACACTTTAAAACAAAACAACATTACAGGCGATTTTATTTCGTTGCTTTGAAGTAACACATTTGTTTACCTCTTTGAGAAATAGTGGAATAACAATAATGTTTGACGTTTGTTCAAGTTGAAAAATGAACTGTCAACCAATTTGGTTCATGTCTAATCGTCGGATGTCAAAAGTTGAATGAAAACTAAATGTCTATACTATATTGTCTATTGTTCGATGTCCAATTGAACGTCGATTGGCGAAAGAGAAGTACATTTGAAAATTTGAAACAAATTAGACAGAAACGATGAATAATTTTCTATTGGATATTCTAAAGTTTTGGTGATTTAATATACCAAACCCAAAAATTCATCTATAAATTTTTTTTTATTTATTTTTTTTTATTTTATTAAACACCGCCAAGCTCTGGCTGAATATAATGTGGGTTTTGTTAGAGGTTTGGCCGGAAAAGAGTACTGTTACAATTTTTATAAATAATGAACAATAGTAGCAGTAACTTTCGATAACTTTCAGTTCTCGCCTCGTTAAAAACCTGGCTCTTTTCGTAAATTATGAGGTAATCACAATAGTAAGAACATGAAAACGAAAGCAGTCATACAACCAAGATGGAAATGCTTATAGTAGTCTATAGTAAACGGTCCAGGATAACCCTTGGTAAACGTTTCCAAAGGGACAAAGGCTATGTGAAGCGTTAACTGTTACGCGTTAAATTTAAGAATTCGAGACTGCAAAAGTCGTCACTCAATCTATCCGATAGATAAATTGATGAGAAGTTTTACGTCGATTAAGGCATATCCATGTTGATTGCAGAGTGCATTGAGTTGACATGGACCATGATTTGAAACGTAACTAAAATCAAACCATATTTTTGATAAATACAACGTTTATTTCACATTTAAAAACAAATATCCTGTTCTTGTACAATCCTTATAATCATTAAGTTTTCATTTTACGGAAAATAAATTGTTATATACAGCAGTTAAGATTTCCTCTCTGTTCATTTGTTTTAAGCATGAACAATCTCTAAGAAATTCTATACAATTGCATAATCTATTCTTTTGGTGCGGTGTTGTTTGACTTAAGACTGCATGCAGTTTATTGGATTTTTCGTCGATTTAGTATGTAACTTCGAATTAAAGTTTGATTTTCATACGACCAGACACCAGCTGTACAAGCAAAGCAAATAGCACCAACGAAAATATGGGCCCATATCGAATGATGAAATAGACGATTCTGCAAGATATGAGAAATGAAAAGTTTTTTTTTTTTAATTGAAAACGATATGTAATGTACCTAACAATGCTAGGTCCTAACAATTATTCAGTTTGTTCGATTACCTCTAAAATTTTGCATGTGATGCCTAAAACGGTCAAAGTGATTGCGAAAAGTTTGTTTGGTATTATTCCATCCAATGGTTTGAGATCAACCGATTGATATTGTTTCCGAATGTATCTGCCACTGAATATTATTCGTAAGAACATATTGGTACAATTGGCTAGAATAAAACCCACTGGACCGAGAAAGCTCGTCAATTGATATGATAAAAATAGAAATGTGATGGAGAAAAATCCCATGTAATAATTATATCTGCAAATTCGAAATGAAATGTGATTCATATTGTGTAATTGGAGTCGGAATAGGGAATTTATGAAAAATCCCTTACCTGTCCAGTTCGGTGCTTCTCATGGCAGCAAACATATACCCTTCACAAATGCCATTGATAGCTAACAGAACAATAGCTACAGCATGCCATTGTAGAAGAGTCACAGAGAGGCCATCGTCTTCAATAAAACGGGAACCACCGTAGAGAGTGAGTACTGTTTTCGAAAAACTTTGCCCAAACACCATTCCAATCAATCCAATTGATGTAACCACTTTCAATAGATTGTACAGCACGGTGCTAGCCTGTTCGACTTTGTCGCGTGGCTGTTGCTTCAGGGGAATGTCTCTTGAGAGGGTTTGTGTGAAATAGAAATAGCTATTTTCTTCGATTGGCCGAAACACGAATCGTGCCGCCAAACTTCCTAAATTGTTCACGATATCATAGGTGGCTTGCTGAGCGAATGTTAGAATTGGACTGATCGTCATCACATATTTCTCGCCTTCGGTTAAAACTTGCTTAAGAATACCTTGTTTGAAGAAGCTCAACACCAATGTTTGTAGATTCTCATTGAATACCGTACCCTTTGAGAGGAAGAAAAATTTCCATTAGGATCAAAGTTAGAATTTCAGATTTCTTCCGATTTTTCCAGAATAAAAAGAAAATTCGCTATAATTACCGAGTTCTCTAAACATCCCGGTAACATTTGTTTAACACTGTTGAATGGAATGGAATCGTTGGATACGGATTTCGTCTCATCTGTGTCTGGTCCATCGTCCGTTTTGTCAGCGGCACGTTTTTTGTCTCCTTTCACCTTATTCAATCGATCGATGTAATAAACAAAGTATACATAATAGCCAATAGCAAATGTAGCTGTGCTACAAACTTGGGCAATGCTAAAGGCGAAAATCGCTTGATTCGGATCACGAAGAACTAGTGTAATGAACAGGGTTGATCGCACGAAAATGTTCAGTGTGTCGAGTAAAACACGAAGCTTCACAAAACAAAACACTTGGGCAACAAACACCTGTGGCTCAGCCAACAGTTCGACAATGCCCGAGATGACGATGCATATGCATCCGAATTTGTATTGATCATAGAGCGCATCAGCTATCGGTGATCCGAATATTGATTGATTAAACCAGATATATAAACATGGCACAGAGAAAACGCAGTAAATCGGCAACCTGACACAAAAAGCAAGAAAAAGAGCAAAAAATCAATCAGAATGTTTATGTTTTCTCGTTCGAGTGATGTGAATAATTTGCTTACGACAGCCACAGCTGATTTATGATATGCGGCCATATGTGTTTCTCATGCGGATTTGCGGTTGAGCTTAATGTTGCTCGCCGAATTGCCTCACGCGACAGAAACGCTAGTGTACTTTCCAATAACAATAGCCGAACGTTCATTATGCCAAGCACTTCTCGGTCAACAATCCGTATAACAAATGAATTTATTACAAACGTAATGCATCGGCACATAATCTAGAAATAGAATACAATTGCGTGTGCATTAAAAAGTGAATAGGTGTTGTTATTGTGATTTTGGCATGATGATCGCATCATTAAGAGCAATGAATCGAGGTGAGAGTAACGAAGTGAGGGCAGAATCAACAGATGAATGATGCCAAAAGCCAACTCGGTTTCAATTCTCTTCGCACACATTCTCAACAGAAAACTGTTTTTTACCATGCTCAACTCACCTGAAATATTATGTTAATCGATGCACTGTGGATGCTACTCTTCAACACGTTCCGGCTCATGTTTTTATAATGTTTTTTGTTTACGAAATTCTCAAAATTAATAACAATTTTATTGATCAAATCTATCTAAATTCTCAACTTCACTCTTGTAGTGTGCGATATTCGTTGAGGAATTGTTGAATAAAGTGCCAGCATTTATTTATTATCAGACGCCGAGGCAGCAGTGGTAAACATAAGAAGTAAACAATAATTTCATAACATCGCACCACGTTAAATTTTGATTCAATTTTTCAATCACTCGCACTGATTATTCGCTATCTGAAACAAATACGAATTTGACAGTTGTTCTATGATGGGTTTACAGTATCACACTTGGTGGGAACTGTCATGCATAAACAGATGGGCTGTGAACCCACCCTTTTGTTCACTTATTGAGAATTCGGTCGTTACATTTTCAACGTAAAGACATTTAACATGAATGCGATTTTCAGTCGAATGAGATAAAATTAGCGTCTATTAAAATTTCCTCGTTTTATACATTCAAATCGCACTTTATTTAATTACTGTACCTACAAACTTATAACCAGTGATGGAATTCTGTTTAGATCTCACAAATTTTTTCGTAATGTGATATCGTAATCACAATGTGATATCACAAATTTTTATGTGGAATGTGGAATCTACAACAATCACTTTCATTGTTCTTACAAAAAATTGTGGTTCCTATTTGTGGTTCGGAATCGTGAAACCGATTTGTGGTTCCGATTTGTGAGATTGATTTGTAGTTCCAATTGGAAGTAGAAAGTAGTGTGATTTATTAGCTCATAGCAAAATATTTTGCTCACGCTGAATGAAGTCAATATACTCAGCACTATTTTTGACAGTTGTTGATTCAAGTTGTGATAGCTATTTATTGTATCAGTGCAGTTTGCGACAAATTCACCAACAATTCTCAGAACACTTTCATCAAGTTCTGTCAAAACAACATTGCAAGCCGGGCCACCGCCGGTACGATTCATGACTGTGTGAAATAACAAATCAAATTAAAACTAATGGAAAAACGTTCTAAACCGTTTAACCGATCGTTCAATTTATTCCATAAAAGATCTTTGTATTCCTTTCCATTGTTTTTTGAGAATTTTCCGTTTATTAAGTCGTAAATTGTCGTCATAAAGTCAATCATTATTTCTTTTTGATTGAGATTTATTTTCGACATTGTGTTCAACTCAACCTATGCTTTTGGCCGGCGCAAGATAGCGGTGGCGCCTAAATAAGATGTATTAGCAATTTGCGGCATTTTTAAGAACTATCAATACTTTTTGTTGTTGTCACGAATTTCGCAACAACAAGAAGTATTGATAGTTCCCAAAGTTGCCGCAGATTCTATTTAGGCGCCACCGCTATTCACTGTCACGTCAAATACATTGGTTCTTATGGCAGAGAAGCACACGTTGGTTCAACTCAAACAATGATCTTCAAACGACGAAATACAAACAACAAATGAATGTTTGACGTTTGTCACAAACAAATAGCATTCATACGCGCCAATTGAGGGGTTTGGAGCAAAAATGTCTTACAGAAAAGTTGAGAGGGAAAATGTCAAATGAAAAGAGATAGCTATATAGTTCACTATAGTTTACTATATAGCTATCCCTTTTCCGCTCATTCATCATCGACATTTTCCCGCCCAACTTTTCTGTATTATATTTTCGCTCTAAACCCCTCAATTAGACGTGACGCGATCTATGCGATGTGATGCGATGAAAAACATTGTGTTTGACATTTCAATGCAAATTACCAAAAATATACAAATACGCGTTCAATTCAAATTCGATTTCAAAAATAGTGCAATTAGTTTTTACGAAAGATTTGTGATCGTTGGCATGTTTAATTCGATTAATGAGATATGTGATTTGTGGTTTCACATGCTAAAGAGCATGTCAAAACTTTCCACATGGATTACATACAGTTTGACCGAAATCGTTTTTACGGAATCAATCCACATTTCACAATTTTTTTGGAAAACAATAAAAGTCATTGTTATGGATTCCACAAACCACAAAAAAAATTGTGGTTTCACATGAAAAATTCGTGATATCACAAGAAAAAAATTGTGAGATCTAAACAGAATTCCACCACAGATAGCATTAAATATTTCGGTTCCGAATAAATAGCTTCACAAGAGTGTTTTTTCGCTACTGAACAAGCCTAAGCCGAGCTGAATTTGTTGATTCAGGCATCTGTTATTTTAACGCGATAATGAGTCAGCCAATTCAGCTCAGCTCAGGCTCCTGCTCAGCAGCAAAAATACACTCTCTGATAACTTCAATCAAACCAATCGAACGCAGTGAATGAATTTGGTACACATCTTCTTTGTGGTTTTAATGATTTATATCTATGGTCACATTATTTTTCTATGGCATTCAATCAATTTGTTGACAAATATCATTATGTGTCGTCATTTAGAAGTGATGGTCGGAAAAGTCCACTATGAGCCAATTAATTCTGAATTGCTGTCATGCGGAATGAGTCATCGTGTAACCATTACATAAACATATAGACAACAAATCGATTTGGTAAAATAAAACAAATGAAATGTGCATAAATTGTTTGATATAAACTGTATTTGATTGGTTTTTTGGAGGTCAGAAGTATTTGAGAAAGCATTCGTCATCAATGAAATATATGCACGGCTATTTCGAAATGCTCCTTATTCGAAAACAAACCAAATGTCTGAGGAGGTTTTGTTTTTGTTTTGTTCACGAAGAAAAATATAATTCAATTCAAGTTGAATTATCTAGAGAATGGAAATATATATTGTCATTTTAATGATTCAGAAATTAAGGCACTTATGCTTTTTTAACCATTTACGGCGGTTTTCTGGGTCTACTCTTGGGCATTTCTTTGTTGAACATCCATGAATTTATTTACTACTTCACACTTCGCCTATTTTGGACCATTCGTTTATCGAATAAATAAAGTATTTCCGTTGATATTACCACGCAACACTACTCTTTAGATATTCACATAAAAATATGTGCTTGTTCTAATAATAATACTAATGCAACTTATTGAATTCAGGTGAGAAAGAATCAATTCGATTTAATAAAATAAGTTTTATGGTTCAACTGATTTCTTTTTTTTTCATGCTAATGGCAGGTTGACTGATTCTCATTTCAATGTCTATATTTTTTAAAGGGCTTGAACCAGGACATATGGATATAACGAAGAGTTTACCGGAAAAGAGTATCCGATGCGCATGC